ATTTCAGAGAGAGGAAGGGAGAGAGAGAGATAGAAACATCAATGATGAGACAACCATTGATCGGCTGCAGCCCGCAACCCGGGCATGTGCCCTGACCGGGAATCGAACCCTGATCGCCTGGATCCTAGGTCGACGCTTAACCACTGAGCCACGCCCAGCTGGGCTCCCTCAATATTTTTTCCATTGATTTTCAGAGAGTGGAAGGGAGGGGGAAAAGGGGAGAAAGAGAAACATTGATGTGAGAGAGACACATCGATTGGTTGCCTCCCACACATGCCCCAACTGGGGCCGGGGATCTAGCCTGCAACCCAGGTATATGCCCTTGCCCAGAAATGGAACCTGAGATCCTTTGGTGCATGGGCCAACTCTCTAACCACTGAGCCATGCCAGCCAGGGCAATAATGACTTTTTTTCATCCTTTGCTTTGGAACCCCTGGACCAGTCCTAGATTCCTCCAGTTATTTCATAATTTGCTCTTATTCCAGAGTAAGAATTCCAGAAGACTTACTCCTAGAATCAAAACTTCGATGACAGTATCATACCAACCTTTCTTTATCTCATCCTCTGAGACCCTTAACATTTTCATTAATTCTTTTCTTCTGTTATTCCTTTAGCTAAAACCTCCCAAACATATATAATGCCAGTCCCACGCCCCATCTTCTTGTGTTCCCAGAGCAACACTGGTCTACCTCAATATTTACATCTATTTTATTTTATCATCTTATCCTCTCAGACTCCCAGACCAGCAGCACTGGATTTGCCCTTTCCCCAGTTATTTAATGTTCTTTCTTTACCTGATACTTCCAAAACAATATTAATAAATATCCCTTTTCATTCTTTTTCTGAGAAACAAACCCACCCTGGGGCATACCTGACCAGCATTAAGATGTCCCCAGGGTACCATAGTGCACCCCCAGATGTCTCTTGTCCCCCAGAACAGCCCTGGACCTATGCCACACACCCTTAATCATTTATAGCATTTATTCCATTTTCATATTTTATTTCTTCAGCTCAAACCTCCAAAACAATATTAATAATGAGGCTACCTCATTGTGTTCTGAGACCCTCCAGACCTATCCTGAAATATCCCAAACATGCACTGTGACCCACCTAAGCCATCCTTGAGATTCTCCCCCAAATTTATATCAATATTTTAATGTTCTTGTCTACTTGCTATCAGGTACTTCATTTTCTAATTGCCTTAGCTTAAACTTCCACAAAAGTATTAATATGGCTCCTCACCCTGTCCTCCTAGTGACCTTGTCCCATTCCACATCTGTATCAGTAGCTTTAAATAATCCTCTGTATTAGTAATTCATCACCACTTCTTGTACATTAATTTAGTCTCTTCTAACATTTATATCAATTACTTCATTTCCCTGTCTTACCGCATTAGCTAGACTCCAAGACTGTGTCTTGGCAGCTACCCCCAGGGCCTTATCCTGTTAACCCAAGACACTTATGATTCCTAGAGCCAGGACAAAAGCCTACTCCTGCACCTACTCCCCTATGTGGGCCCCATCAAGGAAAGGAGCCACTAAGTGTGTGTGGAGGGGGTGTCTGACATGGGGATAGGGGAATTGGACTGATGGAGATGAAGAGTGACAGGGAGGTTTGGAGGGGCTTGGATGGGGGGAGACAGGGAAAGGGGAGAAGGGCATAGACTAAAGGAAGAATTGTGGAGGGGAGAATAGAGAAAGGAGAGAAATGGGGGGGGGGACAGAGAGGGGAATTGGGATGCGGAAGAAAGAGAGGGAGAAACTGAAGGAGAAGTGAAGAGCCCAAAAATTGAGAGAGGTGGATGAGATGTGAAATAGGCTGGGAGGGGGAACATATGGAGAGGCAGACACGGAGGTGGGATGGTGTATATGTAAAAAGACGAGAGGGGCAACAGGGAAGACAGGCACTAGGAGACACATCCCTTCATCCTCCCACCCCAGTCCACACTCTCCTTCCATCCTGGCTTTTTCTTCTAAGGCCCCCTATCCTGTCTCCTCCCTTCCCAGAACATCATCCGCAAAGTGAGTGGCCAGAAGTTCGTCTACAAGTTTGTGTCCTATCCCGAGGTCGCAGGGTGCTCCGCTGAGGACTGTCCACCCCAGCCCGAGGTGTCTATTACCTCCACTGTGGCAAATGTGGCCCCTGCTGCTGTACATGCCGTCCCCGGGGACACTGCCTCCGGGAAGCCAGGCACACCCAAGGGTACAGGAATGGCAGGCCCAGGTGGCTTTGCACGAAGCAGCCGGAATGAGTACATGCGCTCAGGCCTCTATTCCACCTTCACCATCCAGTCCCTGCAGCCACAGCTACAGCTGCCCCTGCATCCGAGGTCTATCTCAGTGCTTTCCAACACCACCCCAGCAGGAGCAGCAGTGCCCCCCTCCGGCAGCAGGAGCACCAGTCCAAGCCCCTTGGAGGCCTGCCTAGAGGCTGAGGAGGCCGGCCTACCTCTGCAGGTAAGGGCTGGAATATGGAAATTCAGTAAGAGGAGGGATGTAAAATTTCCAAATGAGGAGGGTTAAGAGAAGGGACATTTTAAATATTCTGTTAAAGGAGATATGGTGGGAGGAGGGACACACAAGTCCCCTTGTAGAAAGGATTGGGGTTGGGGAGCTGAGCTATGCTAGTACTGACAAGGAAGGAGATTAAGTGTGCTACAATAAGTAGTACACCCAACTTGTATTAGGTACACCCAACGTATGTATTTGCTTAATGCACTGGTTCTTTCACTTCAGCACTCCCAGAATCAACTGGAGGGCCTTTTAACCCACTGGTTGCTGGGGCACACCCCCAGAGTTTTTCCTTGTGTGGGTCTGGGGATGGGCCCAATAATTTGCATTTTTAACTAGCTTTCAGATGAGGCAGATGCTGCCAGTCCTTAAAGAAATTTTTTAAGAACCACTGCCTTCATGACTTGGAGCAGTATCCCCGGAAGTCCAGCCCTGCCCCTACGGGCAGCCCTGCTCCCAGATAGAAGATGCCCCAGAGAAATCCTACTTCCTTGGCAAATACCCAGCTGTTGGAGGACCTGCCCCTATGTGCAGTTATGCCCCCAGTACCAAGTCCCGCTTTCCAAGGGAAGTCATTGCTTCGCTACCCCAGCAATCCATACCTACTCCCTCCTCTCCCAGGTCATTCTGACCCCGCCTGAGGCCCCGAACCTTAAATCAGAAGAGCTGAATGTGGAGCCCGGGTTGGGCCGACCACTGCCCCCAGAAGTGAAAGTGGAAGAGCCCAAGGAAGAGCCCCACGCTGTGGCAGCCAGTGGGGAGGCGGGGTTTGTGCCGGAAGCCCCTAGGGCTGGGCGGGAAGTCCCTCCCGCTGAAGGCACGTCTGCCTGTCAGCCTGCGGTTGTTATGGAGACTGCAGGCCCCGCGGGTGGCCTCGGGGCTTCCACGGCTCCCAGTACAGAGATTGCCCAGCCTCAGAAGGGCCGAAAGCCCCGGGACCTGGAGCTTCCACTCAGCCCTAGCCTGCTAGGTGGGCCAGGACCCGAACGGACTCCAGGATCGGGAACTGGCTCCAGTCTGCAGGCACCGGGGCCAGCGCTAACGCCATCCCTGCTACCTACCCACACATTGGTGAGTGCCGGTGGGGGGCTGGCTTCCAGGACCAATGGGATTGGCGCGGGCGGGCGCTGACATGATTAGACTGACTCCTAGGGCCAACACGGTTATCTGAGTGGGAGGGTGCAACGTTCAAGGGCGATTGGCTGTGCTGGGCTGGAGGGACGGGGCTTAATTAAAGACGGACAAGAGGGTGGCTCCAAGGCTGAGGGATAACGGTGAGAATGAAGGGCAGGTCTGGGGACTTTTGTGGACAGGGACTGAAGGACTGAGAGGCCTTGTGTGGGAACTGTTTCTGAGTGGGGCATGGCATGAGGAACCGGAGGGGGGATTTTTGGTCAAGGATTTGCTTAGCGGGCTTCCTATGAGGTGTAAAGGTGGGACATAAGAGTTGGAGGTTGAGCCTGAGCTATTGGGATGACGACTTGGTAGGTTTGAAAGTGGCATGTGGACAGGGTCTTGTAGGTGGTCTTACCCAGTAAGGCTGGGATGGGCTTGGGCTTTTAGGAGTTGAAAGGGGTTATCAATGTAAAGTTGGAGAGATGTCACAGGCATGGCCTTAGTAGTTATGGTCTAGGCCTGTGCACTTCCAGGGAGTGAACTCGAAGTCTAAGTAGGGTATCTGGTGGGACTGGAACCAAGTTACTTCCGTTTTCCCACACCTGCCCTCTGTTCGCTTGAACTCCAACCACCCCTTCCCCACAGACCCCGGTGCTGCTGACACCCAGCTCGCTGCCTCCCAGCATTCACTTCTGGAGCACCCTGAGTCCCATTGCACCCCGTAGCCCGGCCAAGCTCTCCTTCCAGGTAGGCTCCCCTCTCCCGATCTCGGAGTGGGTGAGAGAACCTAGCATGGTCCCCACCCATGATCTCTCCCTATTTCTGTTCCCAGTTTCCGTCCAGTGGCAGCGCCCAGGTGCACATCCCCTCCATCAGCGTGGATGGCCTCTCAACCCCCGTGGTGCTCTCCCCAGGGCCCCAGAAGCCATGACTACCACCACCACCACCACCGCCGCCGCCGCCCCTTTCTGGGGTTACTTATGCCCTGAACTTCTCTCCAGCCAGCTGTCTCAAGGAGAAACAATAGTTCAGCTGACAGACTCGTGCTGAGGTCATGGTGGGGTGGGGATTCTTAGGAAGAAGGATCTCAATAATTCTTCCACAGAAAACATACAGTTTCTCTCTTCTTGGTCAGTCCCCTAGTGGCCGCCCTTACACATACGTCTCCTACCAAAGCTGTGGAGGCGGTTTATTTATTTATTTTTTGAAGGCCACTGGGAGGAGCCTGACTCAACCCTTTTGGGGGGAGTGGTGAGGACATCTCCCCCAGCTCCACATTTTACCCCCAAGATGAGACAATCAGGGTCTGGCTTGAGAAGGACCTTTCTTTATTTATTTCTCAGCCTGCCCTTGGGAAGCTGAGGGAGCCCTGTCTCCATTTTGGGGTATAGGTAGAAGAGCTAGCTTGTTGTAGTTTCTTTTTCCTTGCTATCCCCAAGGGTCCAGGAAGAATTTGTGCCATTAAATGGTTTAGAAGTCTTGACCAAGTCAGACTCACACCCTCGGGAGAGGAATTCCCACCACCCCCCAGCCTTTTTCTCAGACAGCCTGTCCTTTGTCAGCCACCTTTTTGGCCAGGGGCAAAATGCCCTTTTTCTCCTGTCCCTGAGAAGCCATTCCTGTGTCTGCCAAATTCCTGGGGTCCTGCCTCTTACCTCCCAATGGAGGGTTTTTTGGGGGAGTGGTCCCCGTCTGGGGGGCCCCTCCAGCCAGTACTCCAGGTCTCCCTGTCCCCCACCCTCTGCCATTTTGATAGTATAATCTATTTTTAAACGGGGCTTTTAGATAGGGGAGAGGGAGCATCTCTTCCTATATCTGAGATGGGGTGGGTGGGAAGGAAGGGATTTGGGGG